CTGCAACACAGGCATCACAGGTCAAGAATCCCCGACAGGTGGCCTTCCAACCTCTGCTTAAAAACTTCCAGTGAAGAAGAGCTTATCACCTTCTGAGCGAGTCTGTTCCATTGCAAATGGCTGTTACCCTCAGAAAATTATTTAGTCTGAATTATTGTTTATTGCCCTTTGAATCCATCAGGATCCTTCCCTCCAGAGCAGCAGCACACAAGCTGCCTTAGTCTTCCATACAACAGTCCTTCAGATATTTGAAGATGGCTCTCATGTTCCCTCTAATTCTCATTTTCTCTAGGCTAAATATACCCAATTCCCTCAACCATTCCTCATAAGGCTTGGTTTCCAGGCCATCTTAGTTGTCCTCCTCTGCACACCTCCCACCTTCTTCATATTCTCCTTAAACTGAGATGCTCAGAACTGGACACAGGACTCCAAGTGTGGTCTGACCAAGGCAGAATAAAGTGGTTGCATGACTTCCCTTGATCTGGACACTAGACTTCTGCTGAAGTAGCCTAGAACTGCATTAGCCATTTTTGCTGCTGCATCACACTGTTGACGCATGTTAAGCTTTTGGTGTACTAAGAACACTTGGTTGAGTTTGTCAATATCATTCTTTAATATCATTCAGCTGGTGAAGACTCATGACCTGCTCCCCAGCCACAACTACATCATTGGGATCCACCCGCATGGGATCCTCTGTGTTGGAGCTTTCGGCAACCTTGTCACTCGAGCCACCGGCTTCCATGAAAAGTTTCCTGGGATCAAACCCTTCCTGGCCACACTGGCTGGCAACTTCCGATTGCCTGTCTTCAGGGAATACCTAATGAGTGGGGGTGAGTGTCTTCTTCTGTGCTGTCTCCATTGAGATCCTGGAAAAAGGTGACAAGTCGGGTGCTGCAGGGTTCTGTTCTGGGCCCTGTTGTTCAACATATTTGTAAAAATGACTTGGATTAAGGAATTGAGGGGATATTCATCCAATTTGCAGATGTCACCAAACTGGTAGGGGTAGCAAATACTGCAGAAGACAGGATCAGGATTCAGGATGACCTTAACAGATCTGAGGACTGTGCCCAAACTAACAAATTTAATTTCAATAGGGACGAAAGTAAGGATTTAAACCAGAACTTTCCAAAATTTTGTGTTGGTGACACACTTTTTAGATATGCATCATTTCGCAACACAGTTATTCAGTTTTACTAGCAAATCGGATGTTAAACTAACCCCTTTCCAGCCCCGGGAGGAGTATAGGAAGCCTTCGCGTGACACGCCTACACACTGCAGCTGACACACTAATGTGTCATGACACACAGTTTGGAAAGCTCTGGTCTACACTTAGGCAGGAAGAACCAGCTGCATAAATAAAATATGGGGGACACCTGGCTAGCCAATAGTACATGAGAAAAGGATCTAGGGATCTTCGTAGACCACAAGCTGAAAATGAGTCAATAGTGTGATGCAGTAGCAAAAAAGCTAATGCTATTCTAGGCTGCATCAACAGAAATCTAGTGTCAAGGTCAAGGGAAGGAATAATACCACTGTATTCTGCCTTGGGCAGACCACAACTGGAATACTGTGTCCAGTTCAGGGCAGAATGATATTGACAAGCTGGAATGCATGCAGATAGAGGTAACCAAGATGATAAAAGGTCTGGAAACCAAGCCTTGTCAGGAACAGGTGAGGGAGTTGGGGATGCTTAGTTGGAGAAGAGGAGACCTAGAGGTCACATGAGAGTCATCTTCAAATATCTAAAGGGTTGCCCAATTGAAGACGTAGCAAGCTTGTTTTCTGCTGCTTCAGAGTGTGGGATGAACCTATGGATTCAGGTTACATGAAAGGAGATATCAGGAATAATTTTCTGACATTAAGAGCTGTTCAACAGTGGAACGGACTCCCCTGAAAAGTGATGGACTCTCCTTCCTTGGAGGTTTTTATCAGAGGTTGGAGGGACATCTGTCATGGATGCTTTAGTTGTGATTCTTGCATTGCATGGGATCGGACTACATGACTCTTGATGGTCCCTTCCAACCCTGCAATTCTATGATTTGATTCCCTGTGCAGATGTCTCTTTATTATATCGTCAGCCCTTTAGTTCTAAAAAGCTGAAGAAATGATTTGGACATGCAACAGCCCTGCAAGTTGGTGGGGATTACGACAACTTCTAACTCTCTTCTGATTCTCTGGTCCTTTAGGTCTCTTCCCTGTGACCCGTAAGGCAATAGAATACCTCATATCCCGGAATGGGACTGGGAATGCTGTAGCGATTGTAGTTGGTGGTGCAGCAGAGGCCCTCTCCTGTCGGCCAGGAGTGACAACGCTGATCCTGAGTGAGCGCAAGGGGTTTGTTCGGATGGCGCTCCGACATGGGTGTGTACCACCAGTTGAACATTGAATTCCTTTCCTAGCTGACAGGTCGCAGAGAGTCCCCAGAAGGGACAGAGACTTAAGATGCCAATGGCGTTTGAAGAGCCCTTCAGATGAATCAGAAGAAAGGTACCACACTGGCCAACCAGTGGCCCCTGGTTTGGACTAGGCAACCCGTTACGTTCCGTCCAACTCTACAATTCTATGTTTCTATGAAACTCTGGCAGCAATATTCAGCAGCACGTGTATTTTGATTCTGGAGGGTCAAGGAAGCTATCATGGTTGTTGTAGTTGTGGGTAGCTCCTGCACAGAATCATAGGAGGGTCCCCTAAGGGACATTTAGCCCAACTCCTTGAAATGCAAGAGTTACAGTTGCAAGAATTCCTGGCAGACAGCCAGGGCCGAATTTAGGTTTGATGAGGCCCTAAGCTACTGAAAGTAATGGGGCTCTTTATATGTCCAGCTGTCCTTTGTCAACAACAAATTGTCCCTGTTGTTTGTTGTTGTTGAATATATTCTATATGGTAATTTATGAACCTAATAGGTCCATACACAACACAAACACTATTGCTGTATGTATCACACTGTATGTAGGTTTTATTTTATTTGTTTTTAAACTTATATTTTGAAAATGTACATCCAGGTTTTTTTTTTCCTTTTAAGTTTTTTGGGGGCCTCGAGAGTGGGGCCCTAAACTAAAGCTTGTTTAGCTTATACATAAATCTGGCACTGCAGACAGCAATCCAACCTCTGTATAAAATGTTCTAAGGAAGGAGAGTCCACCACCTTCCAAGGGAGTCTGTCCCACTGTTGAACGACTCTCACCACCAGAAGGTTCTTCCCAATGTTGAGTCGGAATCTTCTTTCTTGTCATTTGAACCCATTGGTTCAGGTCCTCCCCTCTAGAGCCGCCAAAAACAAGCTTGCTCCATCTTCGATATTTGAAGATGGCTATCATGGCACCTCTTTATCATCTCCAGGCTAAACATCCCCAACTCCCTCCATCATTCCTCACAAGGCTTGGTTTCCAGACCCTTGCTGCAAATAACAGGTACCTGGTTGGTCACTGTGAGAAGAGGATGCTAGACTTAGATGGACCACTGGCCTGATCCAGCAGAGCTCTTCCGGAACCTTCAGGCCCAGAGGCAGTCTATTTTGATTCCTTATGGCATTTGGCTACTGTGGCCATTCTGTTCTCAAAGTGGCATTTGGTCACTGTGAAAACAGGATGCTGGACTTAGATGGGCCCCATTTGGCCTGATCTAGCAGCCACACTCTTTTCATCTTCTTGTGTTTTAAATTTCTGAGGGGAGCTCTTTATTCCTGGGGCAGGGGGCTCTTGATCATAGAATCATAGAACTGTAGAGTTGGAAGGGAGCTTAAGAGTCAACTAGTTTACCCCCTTGCTGTTTAAGAATCACAATCTTGTGTTTTCTCATGATTTATTTTTGTTGTTTTTTTAAATGTATTTGTAAAAAAGATTTTCTTAGTTTACAAAAGTATGTGCAATGTCTCCCTCTCTCCCCCCCCTCCAAGTAACATTTTTACAGATCAGTTTCATTTGTTGAGACATTTAGAAAAAGAAGGGGAAAGGGGGTGAGGGTTGGGTCAGGTGGCAATGTTTCTATTATACTTAATATATGTGGGGTTTTGTGTCAGCGTTGCTTGTGCAGGTTCTGTGCTGTTCACTTGTGTTCCTTTGGTGGTGAGAGAGGTTGGGGTGGGCCTAGGGTGTGGTTGTTCATTTGTGGTTGGCTGTGGTGATCTTCGTTTTCATGTGTGAGTGGGTGGGTGTTTTGGATCAGGTTAGCCATATTGATTTGTATGCTGTTGGTGGATTTTTGTCATTGTCTTGTTGTGTATGTGATTGTTTTCAGGTGGTTTCTGTCTTAACATCCCTCCATGCTTCCTTTCCTCCAGGGCCCATCTGGTTCCTGCTTTCTCCTTTGGGGAGAATGACCTTTTCCAGCAGGTTCTCTTCAAGGAGGGGAGCTGGATGCGGAGAATCCAGGACAGATTCAGAAAGATCCTGGGCTTCTCCCCCTGCTTTTTTTATGGAAGGGGATTTTCCTCTGCCCGTTCCTGGGGACTCCTTCCTTTCCCCAGACCAGTCACCACTGTCAGTGAGTATTTCCTGACCCCAGAGGCATAGCATGGGGGGATGGGACCATGGGCGCCCTGGCCCCAGGGGCAATTTTGAGAGGGGGCGCAAACAGGAGCCCTCACAGCAGGCTTCTTCATAATAGCCTGGCTCCACACCAGAAGGAACACCGCCTTGGCTGCAGCAATTGTGCCTGGTGCAGTTCTGCCTCCCCCCCCCAGTCAGGCTTGATCTGGGGGAGGAAAGCAGACAAGTGGATGGCAGAGCTGCAAAACCTCCTCACCCTCCTCGGCCATGGCACACCTCGCGCCCAACAGCAGCAGCTCTGCCGCTGGGTCACTTCTGACCTGGCAGTGGAGAGCATCCCACCTTAGCTGTGGCGAGGTGCGCCCGGCACATTCGTTGCCGGGTCAGGCCCGACCCAGTGGCAGAGAGCAGGGGGAGAGTTGGCAGTCGCTTCCCCACCCCTCTCCTAACCCTGAACTGTGGCTCATGGAGGGGGCCCACCACGCTCCGCTCAGGGGGTGTGCCCCACCTGACTGCCCCGCACAGCATGGGCATATGCTCCACCGCTGCCTGACCCTCCCATACCCACATACGGAATAGCTGTAGCTCACTGCATTATGGCTCACTGTAGTCTGTAGTCTCTCACTGCATCATGGGTTTTGTAATCTGAAATCTCTCATTGCATCATGGGGTTCATAGTTTGTATATCATTGGGGAAAGGCTGTAGCTCAGTGGTAGAGCATCTGCTCTGCATGCAGAAGGTCCCGGGTTCAATCTCTGCCAGCATGTCTGGATAAGACTGGGAAACAGTCCCCTTGCCTGAAACCATGCAGAGCTTCTGCCAGTCAGTGTAGGCAATCCTGAGCTTAATGGACCAAGGGCCTGATTTGGTCTAAGGTGGTTTCCTATGTAGTATTATTATTAACCATTTTATTTCTATACGGTTTTATATTTATAAAGAAAAAAATTCTAAAAGCGGTTCACAACACATTAAAACATAAAATAAAACAATGCAGAATAAAACATTACTTAAGGAAGTCATATATTAAATTATACATTCAAACCAATGTAATTAATAGGATATGAAAATATAATCTTAAACATTACAAAGATGTCAGCTATGGAATGCACATTTAACTCTGCACAGTTAAGAGAAAAAATTCAAAAGAAAACATTACTAAAGGAAGTCAAATATAAAATGCACATTTAAAATAGCATAATTAAAGAAAGAGTAACATATGTACCCTGAGGGGTCCACGTCATCTCACCTTGGTCTTGCCCGTGAGTTGAACTAGATTACCTTGGGTGGATCTCCCCAGCCCTACACTTCTACTATTCTATGAGGTCCTCCTCCTTTCTTGTCCTTCTGCACATGTTCAGCCTCTCCTTTCTTCTTCACTCCTTAGTTGGAGAGCCCCTGGTGGTGCCCAGGATGGAGAACCCAACCTGTGAGATGGTGGATCGCTACCACGCCATGTACATCGATTCTCTCCGCAAGCTCTTTGACGACCACAAAGCCACGTACGGGTTGTCAGAGACGGCCGAGCTTCAGATCCTATGACTGAGATTGGCAACAAGGGGGTGGAGGGAGGAGACAAAGGTGCAGACAGGTTCCTGCCCCTCAACAAGGGCTCCCTCACCTCTTATACCAGGCCCATGCTTGCCATGCAGAAGTTCCAAGTCCCCCAGTAACATAGCCTTAAAAAAGATTGACTGTTTTGCCCATGGACTCCCTGATTTTCCTATTTGGCCACAGTAAAGAAACTGTGCTAACAGAGGGCAGGAAATTAAGGCAACACCTCTTAATTGCTGCCAGAAATCATTATTTGACAAAAATGGGGGTGGGGTGGGGAATTGAACACCATCCATGAGAGAATCATATAACCATAACATTGTAGAGTTGGAAAGTACCCTGTTGGGTCATCTAGTCTAACCCTCTGCAATGCAGGAATCACAACTAAATAATCCCTGACAGGTGGATAATGGATAGCTAAAATATGGGACATAGTATGCATGATTAAACTTACACAATTGATGAGAACTAGAGAATAGAATAGAATAGAATAGAATAGATTCTTTATTGTCATTACACAAGTGCAACATTGCACAAAGTGCAACGAAATTGGATGCCATCCCTTAAAACAACAAAAGCAAAACAACAACAACAACCAAACAAACCACATTCCAGCCACACCCACACCAACACCCATCAAACTCCCAGGTCACACTATCGAGTTACAGCATTCAAAAAGGCCACAGCTCTTGGATAGAAACTGTTTTTCAGTCTATTTGTCTTTGACTTGATGTTTCTATATCTCCTGCCAGAAGGCAGTAGTGCAAACAGACTGTGTCCCGGGTGAGATGAATCCTGCAGGATGTTATTTGCTTTCCTAAGACAACGGGAACCGTACAGTTCTTCCAAAGATGGGAGAGGATGACCAATAATCCTTTGGGCTGTGGTTATGACCTTCTGGAGCACCTTCCTCTCCCTAGCTGTACAACTGGAGAACCAAGCACAAATACAGTATGTAAGAATGCTCTCTATGGAGCCTCGGTAGAAGGACACCAGCAGTCTCTCACTCAGATTGTTCTTCTTTAAAAGTCTGAGGAAATAAATTCTCTGCTGGGCCTTCTTCACCAGAGCAGTGGTATGTGCGCTCCAAGTCATGCCCTGATCGATAGTTACTCCCAAAAACCTGAATTCCGCCACCCTCTCCACCCGTTCCCCGTTGATATACAAGGGCTGAATGTCCGCCTTTTTTTTCCTGTAATCCACCACCAATTCCTTGGTCTTAGCCGTATTAAGAGCCAGATTGTTCTCTCCACACCAAACACAGAGCCGCTCCACCTCGTCCCGATAGGCGGACTCATCCCCTCCTGAAATGAGCCCTACCACCGTAGTGTCATCAGCAAACTTGATGATTTTGTTGTTGGAATAGATGGCTGTACAGTCATACGTATAGAGAGCATAGAGCAGGGGACTCAACACACAACCCTGTGGTGAGCCGGTGTTAAGGCTAAGGGCTGTGGACATATATGACCCTACTCTAACCCTCTGAGAACGTTCTGACAAAAAATCCAAAACCCAGAGACAGGTGGAGTTGGAGAGTCCAATCGCCTCTAGCTTGGACACCAGCTAGAGGGAAGGCAACAAGATGGTGTCTAAAAATGGAGTATTTTTATACTGTTCTGGAGTAATAAGATAAACCCACATGTGTTAGTTGTCACCTTGTGATATTAATTTATTACATTTGATTTTGGAAACCTGTTCCTATGTGCTTAGCTCTGGCTATCCCCTATGTATTTGGCATCTGCCATTATACTTTGTTCCGTTTTATTATAAATAAATGTATGTTTTGTTAAAAAAAGGATTGACCAGTCGACGACAAGGAAAAAACTACTGCCAGCCTGAGTAGATAATACTGAGCCACATGGATCAATGGATTTCTTTATGCAGCGTGTAGATATACTTATTACTCTAACCTAGACATCTTCAAAAGAAGGTTCGACAAATTCATGAAGGAGGAAAGGCTGTACTCTGCCTATATCATCGGAGGCGGTGAACCTTTGGAATACCAGTTGCTGGAAATCACAGGAGGGGAGAGTGCTCTTGCAATCATATCCTCCTCATAGGTATCCCATGGTGGCCACTGTGAAAACAGGACACAGGACTAGACAGCTGTTGCAGGTCTGAGCTTAGTTTCTTATGATTCCTAAGTGGAACCTCCATGAATGGAGCCAATCTAACATTGAATTGGGGGGGGGGCAGTCTTCCAGTTTGGAGGTAGTGCTGTGAAACATGTCTCTCATTTCTCTCCTGAGAATTTCAAACTACCGAATTATCAGGCTGCTTAGACAAAGACTCTGGTTATCAGTAAAAAAACCCTCCTATCATATATTATTTCCTTCTGACAAGGTATAGCCATGAAGAGCTAGAGCTAATGAGGGGTAGCTTCTTCAAGTTCAACTGTTTCACTATTGGTTGAGTCGAGGAAAATGGCGGAAGAGGACTCGAATACTGATTTAGTGAAAGTGATCCTGTCTCAAATACAAGTTCTGAAGCCGATCCGAAAAGTCTTGGCAGAGCTTAAGAATGATCCGAAGCAGATGCAAGATAGATGGTTCACTATGAAGATTGTTTGAATATCCATGAGACCGTTACTCAAGCTAGCCATAATATTCTGGATAAACGAATTACCTATTTGGAGTCACAGTTACACTGGAAAAATCAGCTTATAATTGGCTTTGAAAATCCTCCAACTCAAGCAAAGTATATGGTGCAGAGCATACATACCCCGCAACATTTCTCTGATGAAAACAGGGACGTCCCATTCCATAATAATTTTACTATTTATACCCTACCCATCTTACTCAGTTGCCCCAGCCACTCTGGGTGGCTTTCAACATATATAAAAACATAATAAAACATTAAACATTAAAAAAACTTCCCTATACAGGATTGCCTTCAGACAGTTTGGGGGTTGGATAACTCCATACCCTCCAACATTTCTCCAATGAAAATAGGGTCACCCTAAGGAAAAGCAGGACAATCCGGGATCAAATCAGGGATGTCCCTGGAAAATAGGGACACTCGGAGGACCTGGACTATATGGTGGATTTTTTCAAAAAGCTCTCTCTGGGAGTGTACTTCCCAATTGAGATAGAACACGTTATCTTAATTCCTGTAACAAGCCAGAGGACTGCAACTCTTTCCAATATTATGATTGTGCAATTTCTGCATGTCACTGCGAGAGGCAAGATTCTACATACATTTTGCCAATCAGTAAAATCTCTTGTGAAATGGAATCAAAATTAGATAGCAATTTATCCTGATTTTAGTCAAGAAATGCCTGAAAAGCACAGACTTTCCACAAAAGCACCAACTCTTGCAAGGTCAGAACAACTCCAATATTTCGTGTGCTTTCCAGCTACATTCTGCATTAACCATGAAGATCAAATTCACAAATTTGTCAGTCCCTCGAATGCAGAGGCCTTTATCTTAATCAAATTTGCAGATGATCAGACATGATGATTTAAGGAAGAAATGTAAATCTCTGAAGATGTCCTGGAGAGGTTTCATTTTGAATGACTCTGTGTTTTCACTTTCTTTTTTCTTTCTCCTCTCATTTGTTTTCTCATACTGATCCATTCTGATAAAAAGCCTGGGCATACTGTCAATAAAAGAAATTAGCATTTTGCCAGCTTGTATATCAATTTATTCTGATCCTATTTCTTTTCATATAACCACATTTTAAATTAAATATTAGAGGTACTCCTCCCCTAATACCTCAGTTCTTCAGGTGTTGATAGATGGAAAGGCGAATGATCTGAAAATGAATATTATCCCCAGATTAATCTATATTTTGAGAGGAATTCCACTTCATATATTTGGAAAATATTTTCAGAAAACAAATCCTTTCTTTAGAAAATGTCTATGGGGTTCTTCACCTCTGAGAATATCTTTACAGAAAATGCAGCTACAAATTAATGAAGGAAGATTTGGTATTCCAAATATGGAGCTGTGCTACAATGCTTCCTTAATGGCAAGTATTAAATACTGGAAACCCACCAATTGGTGTTAAATTTCCAATTTGGACAATTTTAGAATATATTGTACATTTATAGCACCTTTGCTTGGAAGGACAGTATTAGGAATAAAATATTTTAGAACTCGGGAATCTCTGGAAACAATTATGTCAGTTAGAAAGATATGCAATATGATGTCTGAGATAAAAAATAGGTTTGACTCATGTTCTTATGCTAATTTGACTCTGTGGGAAAACCCAACTTTAAAAATTGGGGGGAAAGATGGCAATTGGAAAATTTGGATGGAAGCAAGCCTATTGAATTTGCATCAACTGACTTTTTAACATACACTGTTTCATGAGATAAATACCATCTATTGGATATAAACCCACAGGCACTACTTGCAGCTCTTAATAGTGATATACCTTTTCTTTTGTTTGTTTTTTCCACTTTCATTTTAAGTTGTTCAATTAAACTGTTCTTTAAAAAAAAACAGAATGCAGGAGAGCAGGAGTGGGAGAAGGCTACTGTTTTCAAATCCAGCTTGCAGGCTCCCCATTGGGGCATATGGGTGGCCACTGTGAGAACAGGAGGCTGGACTAGTTGGGCTATTGGCTATTCTCCTCCCTCCTTATTGAATCCCCCCAACAACCCTGTAAGGTGGACTAGGCTGAGAGACAGCAGCTGGCCTAGAGATCACCCACGTGAGCTTCATAGCCAAGTAAGGATTTGAATCCTGGTCTCTGCCAGATCCTAAAAATGGTAAAGGGACCCCTGACCATTAGGTCCAGTTGTGGCCGACTCTGGGGCTGCAGTGCTCATCTTGCTTTATTGGCCAAGGAAGCTGGCATACAGCTTCCGGGTCATGTGGCCAGCATGACTAAGCCGCTTCTGGCGAACCAGAGCAGCGCACGGAAATGCCGTTTACCTTCCCGCCAGAGCGGTACCTATTTATCTACTTGCACTTTGACGTGCTTTCGAACTGCTAGGTTGGCAGGAGCAGGGACCGAACAATGGGAGCTCACCCCGTCACGGGGATTCGAACCGCCGACCTTCTGATCAGCAAGTCCTAGGCTCTGTGGTTTAACCCACAGCGCCACCTGTGTCCCCTGCCAGGTCCTAATCCACATCTAATCCCCACAACAACCCTGTGAGGTAGGCTAAGCTGAGAGGCAGAGACAGGCCTCCAAACTCCCCCAGCAAGTTTCACAGTTTCTGCTGCTTTTCCTGTGGAGCGCAATGATTTGAAGGGGCCAGCAATAAGGAGGTGAGTTTAAAGGAGCAAGCCATCTAAGTGCCCCTATTTTTCAGGGACATCCCTGATTTAGAGAAAGCACCCCAGTTTCTGATTTCATCCCAGAATGTCACTTTTCCTTAGGAGAATGCAGGAACCACAGCTTCCTTTTCATCAGAGAAACATTGGGGGGTATGTAGTTACCTGACCCCCAAATCATCTGAAGACAATTCTGTATAGCGAAGGTTTTTTTAATGTTTAATGTTTTATTACATTTTTA